TTTTTCCCCCCCTGAGGGGTTCGTTGAGTTGAGAGGCCTTGTATGATGTATTATCGGAGGCATTAGAGGTGTAGAAGAGAACTCTGGATATGTAAAAACGACTTGAAAGTTGATCTAACAAAGAGAGCTTGTAAGTTTTGAGGTGAGGAGAGGTTGGAGAAGAAGGTTTGATGGTTTCTTTGGAGATTATGTGAACCTTCATGGTGATCATCTCAATAGTATTTGAATGATGTGTGGTGTTTTATACACAAATCACAGAATCCTCGAGTATAGAGTAGCATTGTGGTGCATTGATGTAGTTTGTGTTTTTTTTTTTTGAGTAATTTTTCTTATTACGTAGTATTATTTAGTGAAAATTGCTGTGTACCAAGAATTTATACTACAAAAATTATCTTAAAAGTGAAACATATGATATAAATTTAAAGTTGGTGTGATATGGACCATCCTAGAGTGAATGTGGTCTATTGATATAGTTTTGTGGATAGTTTTTCTATTATGTATATAATATTCCTGTTATTCAATAGTTTTAGATTATCATGTAGCATTGCCATGTTTTCAACTGATGATGAAAAATTTTACAGGTGAAATAATATTGATTCATTTTTATTAAGTAGATGATAGATAAGATAAGAGATAACTTGACGTAACGCATTTTCTAATTGTCCATTTATCGAGAATACTCCTAAATAATACAGTATGAGACTCAAGATTATCAAAAAAATATTTCAAACATTTTTTATGTATGCTTAATTTTCATATCCATAAGAGGACATGAATGCTTAGCACATGAAAAGGCACATCATTAGTCATAGTGATTGACAAAATCTCTGGTAAGTGTTAATTTTTAGATGAATGATTACTTTAATCAATTATTGATGGATAGATCCTCTTGAGCACTCAAGGATTGAAAGAGATGTAGATGATTGAAAAAGACGCAAGAAATTAGTAGGAAAATGATACCTTTCAAGAACTTAATTTAGATAAAATTCTCAAGAATTTAGTGTACAACTAACTTTGAAAAATGTTACTGATGTGAACATGTAATAAAGTAAAATAAAAAGAAACTGGACCAGACATAGAGGACAACCCTTATGTTATATTTTTTCTAGCCAAGTTCATGCATTTTAAATGGTCATCCCTTGTTCTTAGTGCTTCGAACTCATAAGAACAATTTGTTAATTTTATTAGCCACATCATCAGAATTATATTTTGATGTGAACCACAAATCCAAAAAGGATTTTGAACACCAAAAGTCATGGTATAGTGTGACCATGAAAATTCATACTTTTTGACACTTTAAAAAATGTCAAACATTTTAAATTCATGAATAGTGGCTTGTTCATTATTCTTGACCATGTTTGGTTTAAAAACATGGCTTTTGCCGAATTGATTTTCATAATTATTTGGCAAAGTGGGTTGTTTTTCCATGTTAGCCAGAAAATCCCCCATAGGTATGTTATTTTCATGACTTGACTCGCTAAAAATTGGTTTTTGGACCCCCTAAGCCATGCATGGAACATTATTCTTAGCCAAATTCGGCTCAAGAACATGCTCTCTTGGTATGTTAATTTCATTATTTGGCTCCTTAAAAACGGGTTTTTTGACCCCCCTGAGCCATTAATGAAATCAACTCTTTGTTTTTGCTACTTTCAACCATGGAAAAATTTTGAAAAAATTCACCAATTCCGACCATTAAAGCCTCAGTTAAAGACTTGGTATTGAGAGTTGACAATTCATCATTCCATTGCTGAATTTCTATATCAAATCAATGAATTTCTCCAATTAAATGGTGTCTTTTTTCTTTTACCAAATAATATTGTAAAGGATGAAAGTTTATTTCATCAAGAAAATAGATCTCTTCTTGAAGATCCAAAATTTTTTGGTTACGCCAATAGATTTCTATTTGAAATGGACGAATCCAATTCATTTTTCATTTCTTACACTTGACGTTCCATTGGACGTGCCAAAAATTGTTGGCTTATTTTTGCTACGAAGGAAAATATTATAAATGCGAGCATGCCAGTAAGGATTGAAAAATCCTTACAGATTATACTCAAGCCAATTATCAAGCGATTGTGTTGATGGTTCTTTTGCATCAATGAAGAGGACTTCAAAATTGCTAAGTGTAGAGAAAAGAAAAATTAACAGAAGAAGGAGGGAGACGGAGAAAGATGATTGAGTGAATAATCAAGGTGATTGAGTGAACAATCAAAGTAACTATTACTTACCTCTACTCATATGCTTTGAAAAGGAAATGCATAAAATGCTTCGAAAAGGAAGTGCTGAAAATAAATACTTCTAAAAGGCAGTGCGTAAAATAAAATGTAGGAAATATAAATGATAAGAAAAATAGAAATCAGTTGTCTTTGATTTGAGTTTTGGCCCCTTTTATAATGTAACCATTGATGGCTATTTATAGAGGAAAAATACAGTAATAACTACTTAAGGCTCGTTTGGGAAGAAGTTTTTTTAGTAACTTTTTTATTTTTTGGCTAAAATATGATGTAAAAAAAAACTAGTATATTTGGGATGACTTTTTGGTCTTCTACGAAAAGATGTGCAAAAAGTAGAGAGAAAAGAGAATCTCTAACTTTTTGGTATAGGTTGTTGGCTTTTTGTTTTTTTAGTGACTTTTTGGCTAAAATCTGCACTTGCCAAACGAGGCCTTAGTAGCTACCCATTTCTCTCATCTTCATCATTGTCTTGCCATGTGTCCTTTTACTCATCCACTTTATCTTTCATGTTCTCCATCATCTCCATGACCTTTTTTAAGTTCCAAATGAAGAAGAGAATGTCACATGTCCTGAAAATAATAATAATAATAATAATATTTTATGGTGTCATCAGTAATGTGGAACTAATATGTAAACAAAAAAGAAACTACTGTCGAACCGATCGGATTCTCGCTAGACATTTTCTCTTATCATGTCCTCTCTGCAAACAAAAACTACAATGATGTATTCCACTTTGTCTAGAGGTTTCCATTTTGTTGTCGATGCAACTATGTTGAGGACAACCGATTTTAACTTGACGTTGTCGGTCTGAAAGAGCGAGCAAAGTTGGGTAATCATTGTTAGGCCAATATTGCTTGTGTGGCATGGGCCTAAACTTATATATGAAGATATATTTGTGGACTTCCAACCTATACTTTGGTGCACTAAAGGAAAAGGGTCCTCGCCCAAGTCTGCTATCACAACAAGCAAGTGGGAACATGGTAAGTGAAACAATGTGTACTTCTCACATGAACAACGCGGTGGTCGGAGACTAACTATTTGATGAGCACCACCCCTCATCCCATGCAGTGCTTTCCTCACCTCATATTTCTCTGTTCCCCTACGAAAAAAATGTATGTACGTAGATTAATATGAAGGGTATGTTTAAATATGAAAGGTATGTTTAAATATAGACTAACATCAATGACCAACGAGTGTAAAATGAGAATGTGTTGTGAATTCAGTGCATCCAATGAAAATTACCTATTAACCGGTACCAACATATGGACATTCGCTTTAGCTTGGTGCTCGTCAATCCATCGTTGGACATTAGTCGTGTACAATTGACCCCGATTACTCGCATTTTCAGCAATGGTCCTGCCCTCGTCAAAATATTTGACGAGCCAATAAAAATTATCTCAACTGATGCTGTAATCGGGACACTACGTGCGCCTTTGAGTACACCATTAAAGCCCTCTATATGGTTTGTCATCAATATGCCCTAACAAAAACCACCATCATGGCACAATGTCCAATGCATGGGGTTTATCTAACTAAACCACCGTTCAGCATTCTTCTCTAGCTTGTAGCTATCCTCTATAATCTTGTTAAACTTCCGCACTTTCCATGCAGAACCAACTCTCCACATAAGATCCTTGGCTACTGTATTGCTAAATCTTTCATTGAAATTGCTGTATATGTGTCGCAGACAATACCTATGGTAGCCTCTTGGTTACACCGCTGGATTGTCCCAAATTCTGGACACGACACTAAGCAAAGCCTTGTGTTAATCGGATATCAATGTCACCCCCTCTCGATTATGGCACACATGTCGCCTAAGGAGAGTAATGAACCAATCCTAACTCTCAATCGTCTCCTTGACAACAACGGCAAAGGCAAGAGGTATAATCTTATTGACAACAGTCACTGCAGTGGCCGCAACAATCTTGCCTTCGTATTTCCCATACAAGTGTGTGTCGTTAATGCATATCACTGGACGACAGTACTTGAAGCCCTCTATTGCTTGTTTAAATGCCCAGAACACATAGTTCATGTACATTTTAGTTCCGAATGAGCTAAAGCGCAATTTCAAAACCATGTCCCACATGATAACTGTGCCTGGATTGAGTGCCTGCAATGCAGCCATATATCTAGGCAACCTTCGGTACGACTCGTCCTAGGCACTAAACACCATTGCAACTGCCTTCGTCCTTGCAAGCCACGCTTTCTTATATGATATAGTGAACTGAAACTTCTCTTTCACAACCTCAATTATGGTAGCAAGAGGCAATTCTGGTGATATCTGCAAATATAAATTATATTTGAATACATTACAGTCATAATGAAATCCTAAAAACAATAATCTATCTACCATGGCACTTACCGCAATTTGTGCCTTGATGAAATGAGCAATGACCTCGGACTTGAGGTTACAATTGTCCCTATTCATTCTGGGGTACACACACTGATGCGGCGCTTCAAACCTTCTAATTTGAAAGAAATCTTTGTCTTTCAACTTCGTTGCCCGAACCCTCCAGTTGCAGCCGTGCTTGCACTCGGCCACCCAACTGTTTCCTTTGGATTCTACAACCCTGCATTCTCGATTGCGCTTCAGGTTATACAACTGAACAGCGTGCACTAGTCTTTTCTTATCAGTAAATATCATTCCTTTCTCGCAACTAAATAGTGTGCACCAAGCTTTTCTTATCACTAAAAATCATTCATTTCTCCAAATGAGCAGTTTCGAAGTCTCACAATGGCCAACTTTCGACAACATCACGGCTAGTGATGAAACCATCATTGTCGAAATGCATATTATGGTAGAAGGGGATATTTGGGTGTAGGTCCTGCGTATTATCATGTCCTTTAACTTCATCATCACCAGAGTCATTGTCTTCACCTTCCATTGCGACATCGAAATCTTCCACAGAATCTTCATGATTTACTGCAGCCTCGTCATCAAACGACACTGTAATATTAGAGGATGCACAAATTTGGACAGTCGTCTCCGTTGTACGTTGAACATTAAAAACCGGTGGACATTCTTCAGTCCAGTGGAGAGATGGGGTTGTACAAACCATCGGATTATACATTGTCGAAGCACTTGGACCTGCTCCAACATTGTAATAACCATCCAAGTTCTGTGATGCATTGAATTGAGTGTAACTCTGAGAAGAATTAAATGGAGGGTAATCTTGAGTGAACACCTGTAGAGACTGTACAAGTGTATTGTCAGGGAATTGCGATTGTGTCAACATTTGAGTGAATGTCCCTTCCATCGGAATTGGCATATGTGTGCCACCAAAATTGCTCTCATTCTCTATATAGATTTCCAAAAAAAAAAAAATCAAGACCTAATTTATGTGGGAGATCTAAGACATTAGTTAAGGTCTCATTATTGTTGATTGGCAACAACCTATACTTCCCCCGACATGGGAGTCTACATTTAAACTTTAATCGCATTATTTCCCCATACATACCGACCTTGGGCACCATCATCGCCTCTAACTGACCCAATGTTATCCCCCTGTGCACATTATACGGCCCCTGTGCTTCGGTGTCGTATGACTTACCTTCCTCGCAATTTTGCAAAATGTTTCCCTCCCAATAGAACATAATGCACACAACTTCCATACCTAAATTTTGCATTCAAAGTAACTCAATTTATTCAAAATAATAAAGTACATACATTTGGGAATCTGATTTTCATGGTTGAACTGTTAGTATATGACATTTGATTGTAATGCTTGATAAAAAGTAAGAAAAGATATTTCATGTGACTAGTATATGTGGAACCTAATGTCAACATATCTGAAACCCACATCATTGTCATTTACAACTTAATCTCACAACGAAATCCAAGTATTATAAAATAATAACGCATTTCAAATGCAATCAGCACATCAAAAATTAAGGAGCTTTTACCTATTCTTCAGTTTGAAAGCTAATCATGTATAACAAAAACAAAATTGTAAATTTTTTGGAAACACAAAATCTGTACATCTTTGACAGACAAAAGTGTGACTAAGAGGTAGATTTCTATTTTGTTGAACATTTAGTAGATCTGAGCTGTACAACAGATCTTAAAAATAAGAAAATTTGTACCTTTTCCAAACCCTAGTTTCAGAAATCCCTAATTTCGAAATTCAAAATGCCAAATTTGAAATTAAAACCGTAATTTTTGCAAAACAAACCTGAATGAGTTGCCATTTTCTGTCTTCGTCTTCTTTGTTCTTGCTACAACTCCCGTGGTGGCCTTCGTCTTCTTCGCCTCCTCCATAGTGCTTTTCGCATTTCTCTCTTTGTCGTTGTTTGATGAACTGCAGCGCGCGCGCGCGTGTGTATGTGTGTGTATGTGTGTGTTGGACTGTTGGAGCAGAACAAAAACGAGGGTAAATGACTTGTAACGCCAAAAAAAAACAATTGGTGAAAACAGTTTTCGTAAAGCCGTATTATAAAACGACTTTTCTAAAACCGTTTTATGTATTACAAATATTTTTGGCAAACAATATTTATGTTGAAAATATAAATTTAAAAAAAAATATTTACTAAAAAAAGGCTTTTACCAAAATTGTTTTTAATTAACTCAGAATTAATTACAAGTTAAGTAAAAATGACTTTTCAAACGCCGATTTTGTGTAAGATTTTTTTTTTTTTTTTTCGTAAAACACAGCATTGGTAAAGTCGTTTTACCCTAGAATGGGAATAAAGAACAAAACCCACCCTAGAGTGGGAATAAAGTTGTGAGAATGGCACAGTAAAGGAAAAACGCCCTCTTCTCCCTCTACTCTATGTGAGACTATCTCTTCTCTCTCTTCTCTCATCTCTCATCTCTCCTCTTCAGCTGTGACAACCCTCACCACTGTTTACTGATTAACCACTGATTACTACTAAACTGAGACTAAACATGGTAATTGACTGACTGATTGAAATACTGAACTGATCGATTGAGTGTGCTAGTCTAAATACATATCTATCTGTTGACAGTTAAATTATCTCTTCATGTTTTATGTTTTAAACTGCAAATTGAAGGTCTTATTGGCAGCCGAATCTGAAATTGATTAGTGATATGTGTTAATCATAATTTATGTGATTATTGGAATGTGTCATTGAGATTGACGATTGAAAGAATACATTAAATTTATGTATTGTGTGATGATGTGTATAATTGTTGTTTATATGCATTGTGTTGTGTTGGAGGAGATAGGGGATGTACTCCACGGTTTAGGGGGAGATAGGGGATGGACCTCTAAACCGGATGTTGTTGGGAGGAGATAGGGGATGGACTCCGTAGATAGAGCTCATATGCTTATCTAGTACTGTGTTGACAGAGCTCATATGCTTGTCATTGGAAGTGTGATAGTGCTCATATGCATATCTGTGGAATTGATGATATAGCTTGTATGCTTATCTGTTGGTTTGTGATATAGCTAGTATGCTTATCTATTATGAAATGGGGAAGTGTTTGATATGAGTTATTGTCTCATATGAGTTGTTTGGCCAGGTTCTGAGCCATGGTCATAAAATGAGAATTGAAAGGAACTGGAAAATGAATTGTAACATGAACTTGCATGTCATGAAACTGTAAAGTGTGATAAGAGAAAGTATCAGTGTTGGCCATCTATCAACTGCTAATCTTTTAGTCATTGTTCATATTTGGTTTAGTGTATTTCTACTGGGCTGTGGCTCACCCTATATGGGAACATCATTTTCAGGTACAGGTAGCATGCCACCTCCAAGGACATAGCTTGGGAGGCTAGAGGCGGACACACTTTTGTCGTTTTGTTTTTGATGTATTACATGTAAATTCAAGCCAAGGGCTTAATGTGTAAATGAGTTAGTACTCTTTTGTTATAACCAAGTGTTAACTTGGAAAGCTGTAAGCCTTTAGGGCATTTGTTTTTGTCGTTAACATGTAACACTTTTTGTAATGAAACTCTGATAAATGGAAGAATGTGGAACTTTTATATATCAATGCATGTCTCTATAGATGGGTTTAATGTTGTTATTTTGAGGGCGTTACAGCATACATGTTGCCTAAGGAGAGTAATGAACCAATCCCAACTCTCAATCGTCTCCTTGACAACAACGGCAAAGGCAAGAGGTATAATCTTATTGACAGCAGTCACTGCAGAGGCCGCAACAATCTTGCCTTCGTATTTCCCATACAAGTGTGTGTCGTCAATGCATATCACTGGACGACAGTACTTGAAGCCTTCTATTGCTTGTTTAAATGCCCAGAACACATAGTTCATGCACATTTTAGTTCCAAATGAGCTAAAGCGCAATTTCAAAACCATGTCCCACATGATAACTGTGCCTGGATTGAGTGCCTGCAATGCAGCCATATATCTAGGCAACCTTCCGTACAACTCATCCCAGTCCCCAAACACTATTGCAACAGCTTTCGTCCTTGCAAGCCACGTTTTCTTCCTTGCAAGCCACACTTTCTTATATGAGATCGTGAATTGAAACTTCTCATTCACGACCTCAATTATGGTAACAAGAGGCAATTCTGGTGATATTTTTCAAATATAAATTATATTTCAATATATTAAACTCATAATTAAATCCTTAAAAAATGATATAACATGTTACTTACCGCAATCTGTCCCTTAATGAAATGAGCAATGAGCTTGGACTTAAGGTTGCAATTGTCCCTATTCATTCATGGGTACGCACACTGATGCAGTCCTTCGAATCTTCTACTTTGAAAGAAATCTTTGTCTTTCAACTTCGTTGCCTAAACCCTCCAGTTGTAGCCGTGCTTGCACTTGGTTACCCAACTGTTTCCTTTGAATTCTACAACCTTGCATCCTCGATTGCGATTCAAGTTATGCAACTAAATAGTGTGCACCAAGCTTTTCTTATCACTAAAAATCATTCATTTCTCCAAATGAGCAGTTTCGAAGTCTCACAATGGCCAACTGTCAACAACATCACGGCTAGTGATGAAACCGTCATTGTCGAAATGCATATTATGGTAGAAGGGGATATTTGGGTGTAGGTCCTGCGTATTATCATGTCCTTTAACTTCATCATCACCAGAGTCATTGTCTTCACCTTCCATTGCGACATTGAAATCTTCCACAGAATCTTCATGATTTACTGCAGCCTCGTCATCAAACGCACTGTAATATTAGAGGATGCACAAATTTGGATAGTCGTCTCCGTTGTACGTTGAACATTAAAAACCGGTGGACATTCTTCAGTCCAGTGGGGAGATGGGGTTGTACGAACCATCGGATTATACATTGCACTTGGACCTGCTCCAGCATTATAATAACCATCCAAGTTCTGTGATGCATTGAATTGAGTGTAACTTTGAGAAGAATTAAATGGAGGGTAATCTTGAGTGAACACATGTAGAGACTGTACAAGTGTATTGTCAGGGAATTGCGATTGTGTCAACATTTGAGTGAATGTCCCTCCCATCGTAATTGGCATATGTGTGCCACCAAAATTGCTCTCATTCTCTACATAGATTTCCAAAAAAAAAACAAAAAAAAAAAAAAAAAAAAAAAAAATCAAGACCTAATTTATGTGGGAGATCTAAGACATTAGTTGTAACGCCCTCAAAAAAAATAACATTAAACCCAACCAATAAGACATGCATTGATATTCAAAAATTCCACATTCTTTCATTTCTCAGAGTTTCATTACAAAAA